ACTTACACATCAATGTTTGTTGGAGCATTATTTACGATTGCTAAGACATGGAACCAACCCAAATGTCCATGAATAGATAAATGGGTAGAAAAAGTGTGGCACATATACTCTATGGAATACTATTCAGTCATAAAAAAAAAACAAGACCCTGGCATTTGATAAAAAGTGGTTGAATATGGAAGATTTATTGCTGAGTGAAGCAAGCCAGGCTATGAAAGAAAGATATTGTATGTATTTACTTAATATACACCATCTATCCTTACTCTATTGTAGAGACTGAAATACTGGAGAGCATAAAAGCAGTTTAAATAGTTATGGACATTGAAGACAGTGTGGAATGGTAGGGGAGCAGGAGAAGGGAAGAGTATAGGAAAGGAAAGCAGGAGGAAAAATAGGCATGACGTTTGTGGGACACAGAATTGGTTTATTACCTGTGGACGATAACATAATATTCTCAACTCGATTGGTCTGAGAAGTGTTTCATGTTAGGTAAAATTCTCTTTACAAGTCAAATAATGCATAGTGATTGAATGTTTAAAAAAATAAATAAGATGAATTAAAAAAAACTATCTATTGGATTGAATATATTAATACTGAAATGTACATTACTTAGTTTACATTTATCAAAATATAATTAAATGTGTTGGGGTAGTTAGAGGCTGGAAAGCATAACATTGTGATTCATTCTTATACAATTAGAACAAAAACTCCTCAAGCAACATTATAATTGTTATCTTTGCTAAATCTGTAGTTGCACATATTAAACATATTAAATGCATTGAAAATGAAAAAAAAAGCGTTTCTTATGAGCCTGTTTTTCTTTCTTTGGATTCTATTCAATACTCTGTGAATTATGATGTGAATATATGTATATATATATATTTTATAAAATCTGGCTGTCTACTAGACCTTTTTGATTGTCCTTTTGCTAGTCTTGGGTAACTTCCTCACACGCAAGAGCTGAGTAGCAGAGATCTCTGCAGATCTCCAAAGCTCTCTCTCTGTGTAGCTCACTTTTCTATAATACTCCACCTGCCACTGTCTTCTCAGACTCTCAGCTTCATGTTTTGAAACTCAGGAAGTCCACTCTCAGTACACTCTCCATGAACCAAACCCTGAACGTCTTTAAAATGCTAACGTGAGGCAACTGTAGGGTTCACCTCTTTGTATTCAGTCTGTTTATGAGACTTTTTTTTTTTTGAGAGTTTTTTGCTATAGGGCATGTGTGTTTGCCAGAAAGAGAGAGACAGAGAGACAGAAAGTGAGAAATCACCGCACACACCCCCCCCCTCCCCAAAGGGAGGATGACCAGGCTACAATCCCTTCTCCTCCATT